CGGACCGGGCTGGCAACGCGCACCACTGGCTTGGTGCGAGGGAAAGGGAACAGGCCGGGCCGGGCTGGCGACGCGCACCACTAGCTTGGTGCGAGGGTGAGGAACAGGCCGGACTGGTCTGGCGACGCGCACCACTGGCTTGGTGCGAGGGACAGGAACAGTCGGGCCGGGCTGGCGACGCGCACCACTAGCTTGATGCGAGGGGCAGGAACAGGCCGGGCCGGGCAGGAACATGGCTTGGTGCGAGGAGCAGGAACAGGCCGGGCCAGGCAGGAACAGGCCGGGCCGGGCTGGCGACGCGCACCACTAGCTTGGTGCGAGGAGCAGGAACAGGCCGGCTTGCGTCGCACACCACTGGCTTGGTGCGGGGAGCAGGAACGGGCCGTACCGGATTGGCGACGCACACCACTGGCCTGGTGCGGGGAGCAGGAACAGGCCGGGCTGGCGACGCGCACCACTGGCTTGGTGCGAGGGACAGGAACAGGCCGGACCGGGCTGGCGACACGCACCACTGACTTGGTGCGAGGGGCAGGAACAGGCCGGGCCTGGCTTTCGACGCGCACCAATGGCTTGGTGCGAGGGACAGGAACAGGCCGGACCGGGCTGGTGACTCGCACCACTGCCTTGGTGCGAGGGACAGGAACAGGCCGGACCGGGCTGGCGACGCGCACCACTGGCTTAGTGTGGGGAGCAGGAACGGGCCAGACCGGACTGGCGACACGCACCACTTGCTGTCTAACCAGCTCCTCTCGCCGTGCCTCTACACTTTCCTTCTCCCTTTTAGCCTCGTCATCCACCCCGTGTGCCAGCCACCAACATTTTCTTGGGGTTGCCTCTCGGGTCTCCGTTGTCGGCACGGTTGGCGCCGTTTCACCTCTCCTGTCTGGTCATCTACCTTCGTCCCCGCAAATATCTCCTCCCATGACCACCATTTGCCCACCTGTGACATGGCAATTCGCTCTTCCTGGGCACGCTGCTTGGTCCTCGTTTGGTGGGATCTTCTGTCACGTTCGTTGATGAACGGGTCAGACCAAGGCGCAGCGTGATATGCATACATGTTTATTATACCGAATAAACACTACGACAAAACAACAAACTAAACGAAACGTGAAGTCCAAGGTACACAAACAACATACCTTACACGGAACAAGATCCCACAACCCACTTGTGCCAATAGGCTGCCTAAGTATGGTCCCCAATCAGAGACAACGAGCGACAGCTGCCTCTGATTGGGAACCACACCGGCCAACATAGATCTAGACATACTAGATCTAAACATAGAATATACAACATAGAAAATCACAACAAGGAATATATACACCCTGACTCAACATATAAGCGTCCTCTGAGTCAGGGCGTGACAAAAGGCCTCCTGCGGGGACGGGGGCTTGGATTAAAAATTAAAATAGAGGACAAAACACACATCACGACAAGAGAGACACCACAATATTACATAAAGAGAGACCTAAGACAACCACGCAGCATGGCAGCAACACATGACAACACAGCATGGTAGCAACACCACATGACAACAACATGGTAGCAACACAACATGGCAGCAGCACAACATGGTAGCAGCACAAAACATGGTACACACATTATTGGGCACAGACAACAGCACAAAGACAAGAAGGTAGAGACAACAATACATCACGCAAAGCAGCCACAACTGCCAGTAAGAGTATACATGATTGTCTGGTGCGGTAAGTGTGTATGTCATTACTGTGTGTAAGTTCACTATGCAAACAATTTGGAATTTCCAACACATTAAAGTTTCTTATAAAAACAAGAAGCAATGCAGTCAGTCTTTCCTCAACTCTTAGCCAAGAGAGACTGGCATGCATAGTATTGATATTATCCCTCTGAGCTAGCTGCAGCTTAACTAGGTCTTTCTTTGCTGCACTTGACCATATGACTGGACAATAATCAAGGTAAGATAAAACTAGAGCCTACAGGACCAGCTCAAGAGGTGCAGCCTTCAAGTTGTGTCACGTTATGAGCAAACAAGAGGAAGTCAATAATCTAAAAAACATGTCCCTTTTCGTCCGGTTTTAAACCATAGGGGTTGACATGATGTCACTATGTTCTGCAAGTAAACGTTACACATTCAGGAAACGACATGCTATGCTCTCCCTGTGTCTCCGTTTATTTATCTGCAGTAGACCTATCCTCCCCCTTTCTTTCACTCCCTTTCTGAACCCTCCCTCTTTATTTCCTCCCTCTCTGTCTACACTCTGTTTCACTCCTCCTCCAGTGGTTATTCCTTTTAAGCTCAGCAGTCCTTCCAGATCCCTTGTTTCTGGTGTTGTCACCATAGAAATAAAACAAACTCATTCTAGTTGCGTGGTTGCCACATTGTGGCATTGCCTATGTGTCCTTCTGCTTCTCGCTCTTCCAGATGGCTTAGAATCTTCAAAGATGTTGGGGCATAACAGTATGGAGGGAATCGTGAAACCAATCCACACAGAAAAAAGAGAGAACAATGTGTCACACAAACACTATGGCAAATGGTTATTACACACACACACAAGCACATAACGTTTTACTGACCTCCTGGTCTTCCCTGTAGATTAGTGTCTGGAGAGAGGTTCGGTGTCTCTGGATGACGTCACATTCTATTCTCTTTATTCTACTAGTTATACAGTACGCAGTAGGAACACACGTGACACACCTCTACCTCACTGGCTCACAACGTGATGCTATCACCATCTCGTACATCAGCCAAGGGCATGGGGGAATTAATGTGATTCCTTTTAAGGCTATTATCTGCCCTGTGTTTTCGATGTTAAATACGCATGATCATCACTCCTAAGTGCCCCTGTTATATTAATCACAGTTATTGACTTGCAAGTGGCATGCGGACAGTATAACCTCTATTCATCTCATCCGTCTCCCTCTGAGGCCTGGTCAAATTAGACACATACAGTATATTAAATACACAGTGTGAAGGATTGCACACACACACACACACAAACACACACACACATGCACATGCATGCACAAATGCACACACAGGCATAGGCGGGGCTGGGGACACTGACATGTACAGTAACAGCTCATATAAATACACACACATTTCACACACATTCTCCCTTTTAAATCAACCGACATACAATCATCTGAGTTGATGGCAGGTGATACAAAAGCCACTTCTCTATGTCCTCACTCTCTCACATCGGCACTGCCTATTCAACATGACCAAACTAACATGTCTTTACTGTTTGCAATAGTATATCCTAGGCATATGGGGAAAAAACCATTATCAAAGCAGTGAGATAGATGACAGTACAGGTCAAGGCTCCAGGTCCAATTCTCCAGAGTCTACCCCACCAGATCCTGCATCAAACCACCTTATGGCTTCCTGTCCATCCTGCATTCTCAGTCTGATCAATACCCCAATGGGTTGTGCCTTGAGAACAAATACTCCATATGCAATGAATGCATATAATGCCTGTTCTGTGTGATGCCAATTGTAGGCTCTTCATATCTTTCAAAAATGACTTATTGCACTAATGCTACTGGGCCTTAACCAAGGTTGACCCCTCCTGCCATGTGTGAGAGTTACTATCTTTCCATAAATTGATACAATCTCTCCCCCCTCTGGCCATCGATTTATATTGCAGCCGGTGAAGAACAGAGCTTCTTCTGTAAAACAATCTCAATTTAACTCTGTGTTGCTTGAGAAATTGTTTAGCTGACATTAAAGGTATTTATATCCACCTCAATGTTGCTAGCTTTTTATGTGTTCGCAAAGGAAAGTTGAATTATAACTATTGCACATAGTATTACACAGTGTGTGAACATGGAGTACATTTAATGAGAATAAAAACAGAACAAAGCAACTACTGTAAATCTTTTCCCCATAGCTAGAGGCCCAGATTGTTATTATCAGAGTGCAAAGACTAACACACACTCAAACAATGCAAGGATCGGTTTACCAGGGATCCATTTACACAAATTAAAGATTTTTCAATAGAAGTACATTCATGTCATCATTCAAACACTGATACATGCACATGCATTCCTTCCTTTAACATCTTATGCGAAAGACCACTGGAGGTCAACAGCAGCAGGTCAATAAGGTGCACACACACACAGTCTTGTACAGCTAACCTTGTGGGGACACACAATTCAGTCCCATTCAAAATCCAATTTTCCCTAACCCTAAACCTAACCCTAACCCATACTCTTCCCCAAACCCTAACCAAAAAACCTAACCTTAACCCTAAACCTAAACTTAGCTCCTAACCCTAACTCTAACCTTAACCCTAAACCCCCTAGAAATAGCATTTGACCTTGTGGAGACCAACAAAATGTCCCCAGTTGGACAAATTTGTGTTTGTTTACTATTCTGGTCCCCACAAGAATAGTTAAACACATCCACACACACACAATCAATCATATAATACTACCACATCTCTATGCTTTGTGCAATGTGATAATACATGTACATAGACTGTCACTCACTATACACACAAGCGTGTAACTTTACCTCCACACATTGATTGAAACGGTTTATGTCAATAGAGTACAATACAATATCTATAAGACTACTTTTGCATTAACAGAGAACTTTCAATAGAAAAGAAATACAGTATATCAAAAACAAGAGAATATTAGTAATTATAAGCAAGAGCCAAGGAAAGGTCAGATTCGGTCACATTCTAATCATCCTTAGTCAATATCATTATTCACATGACAAACCCCAAAAATGTATTCAATTTCAAAGTAAACTACTGGTTATTAATTTAATAAAGTTAATATAACATTTGAATTTGAAGAGTTATTATTTATTTTGTAGGTAAAAGGCTAGTTGGGGATATCAGTGAGTAGGATTAGAGCAGCGAGCTGCTTGGTAAGGATCAGGTGGTAGCCAACTACAGACAGCAGTACAGGGCTGTGTCAGGTATATGGTTGCAAAATTCCAGTAACTTTCTCAAAATTCCCATGTTTTCCAAAAAATCCTGGTTGGAGGATATCAGATTTCTTGCTTATTCCCTCCTGATTCTGTGGATCCACCAACCAGGATTTCTGGACTACCTTGAAATGTTGGGAAAGTTACCAGAATTTTGCAACCCTTGTCAAGCATGAGGGCCAGGCAGGCACGTCAGACAGCGTAGTGTTTGTTAAGGCGCTGTAGGGCGTCGCCCACGATGTCCAGTTCATGTCTCAGATCCTCCACCATGCTGTTGATACTGGAGGTGTCCTTCAGCACGTCCACACTGTGGGTGTAGGGGTTGTACCTCACTGTAAATGGACGCTTGATGGTCTTGGCAAACTCCCTGTGTGCATAAGAACAGATAATGACGAAAACATAACACAGCCCAGGTTTGGAAAGGTGAAAGAATAGTTTATTAGCCCACAGAACAGCCAAGAATGTAATGTCACAAACAACCTACCTCATCTTGACTTTGGCCTCTTCAAAGCTCTCTGACACAAAGTAGACGTCTTGGAATGTAGTGATAATGCACTCCTGCTTGCAGGTGACCTTGGGGTCAAAGGGCATGATCTTTGCATTGCCAGAGAGTGCATGCTGTATGAGGGAAAAAAGTATCTTAGGATTCTTGGTTTGTATCAGATGGTGTTTTTACCCTTGAAATGGTGTTTGAATATGAATATGAAATGCCTTTACCTTCAGCTCACTGATAGAGGAGAGAAGTCCTGCGCCGTAGGCTCTCATCTTTCCTTCCTGCTTGCACAGGCCAAACTCTACTGTGAAAAAGTAACACTGCAAAACAAAAACAGGCAACAACGTTTAAATATATGAGTTAGACAAGAAAAACAGTTCAATTCAAGCACAGTGTTTGGATATTGGTGTCATGGAAATAGCACTTACAGTGGCCAGCGTCTGGACAGACTCGTCTGAGGCCCCCAAAGAAGCCAGACCTATCTCCTGGGAGAACTGGGCAAAACTAGGCTCCGCCAGCAGGGGGACATGACCCAACAGCTCATGACATGTGTCTCTGTAACGCACACAAACACACACATATATATGTTGATTGTTAAGCTTGTAGGCGGCATGTGCAACTTTGTGACAGTGTAACCAAGTGTTCTTCCATTTTATTTTTGAAACAATCAATGAATGATTATGTATGCACCTTTGAATATCTATCTCATACTGGACTGTAGCTGTGGAAAATGTCCTTTTGAGTTGCAATCAGCTGTAAGAGTTAAGTTTGCTTAGGGATGTGATACAGGCTCTCTGTATGGAAAGAAACTCCATGTTCCTGTATGATTATTTTCGGTACGGTGACATATTGCTATGTTTATGTCCCTATGAATATCACACTGATTTACTCAACGTCAGATAGATTTGTGTTCAACAATGAAAAAATAAATTAACATTTTACAAGTCCAACTTCTCCTTATTAATGTAACATGCGTTAAGGGTACTTACGGCTCAGGTGTGTAGAGAGGGTCAGAGCTGTGGCGAACATACTGAGTGCAGTGGAAAACCCGGAAAGCCAGACCTGCCAGAAAGTCTCGTGGGGAGAGGTAACCTGCCACGGGCCGAATGATAAAGCCTGTGCGCTCTGACGACACACACACACACACACGCACACATATGTTTTTACTCATGTAAAAGGCCACGACACATTCAGCAACATCTAATTTGATACCCCTAAATCCACACTTTCCATTTTACAATAACTTTCATTATGCTGATAAACCTGAGCATCAGACTGAATGAGACTGTGTGGTGTCATGTACAGTTGCCGACTCTGCCTGTCTCACCTCTGAGGAAGTGTGACACATCCTCCAGCTGGGGGATGTTGTCCTCCCTGCAGTCACAGTGCTTGGAGAGCAGTGGCAGGTTATTCAGGTACTCCCGGCAAGCATGGGTTGGATACAGCTTATTGAGCTCCCGATAGACCACACCCCAGGTCTTCACCTCCTCCTCTGTGAACTCGACACGCGGAATTGGCTCCCCACTAAAAGAGAGAGAGAGGAAGAAAGAGAGATACAGAAAGATAATGAAAGAGTGGAGCTACAGTAGAAATGTCTAACTATACCTGTGTGCATTAGGACATTGAAGCATTAATGTCATAGCTTTCCAAATCAGATCTCACATAGCATGATAATATGACCTACTGTTTGTAGCTCATAGCAAGATCAGCAAAATGTTTCCTTCTTTTGCGATAGACGTTGTCCTTGAAGCCCTGCAGACAAAAAAGATACAGTTGAAGTCGGAAGTTTACATACACCTTAGCCAAATACATTTAAACTCAGTTTTTCACAATTCCTGACATTTAATCCTAGTAAAAATTCCTTGTCTTAGGTCAGTTAGGATCATCACTTTATTTTAAGAATGTGAAATGTCAGAATAATAGTAGAGAGAATGATTTATTTCAGCTTTTATTTCTTTCATCACATTCCCAGTGGGTCAGAAGTTTACATACACTCAATTAGTATTTGGTAGCATTGCCTTTAAATTGTTTAACTTGGGTCAAAAGTGTCAGGTAGCCTTCCACAAGCTTCCCACAATAAGTTGGGTGAATTTTGGCCCATTCCTCCTGACAGAGCTGGTGTAACTGAGCCAGGTTTGTAGGCCTCCTTGCTCGCACACACTTTTTCAGTTCTGCCCACACATGTTCTATAGGATTGAGGTCAAGACTTTGTGATGGCCACTCCAATACCTTGACTTTGTTGTCCTTAAGCCATTTTGCCACAACTTTGGAAGTATGCTTGGGGTCATTGTCCATTTGGAAGACCCATTTGCGACCAAGCTTTAACTTCCTGACTGATGTCTTGAGATGTTGCTTCAATCTATCCACCTAATTTTCCTTCCTCATGATGCCATCTATTTTGTGACGTGCACCATTCCCTCCTGCAGCAAAGCACCCCCACAGCATGATGCTGCCACCCCCGTGCTTCATGGTTGGGATGGTGTTTACATAACGATGGTCATTATGGCCAAACAGTTCTATTTTTGTTTAATCAGACCAGAGGACATTTCTCCAAAAAGTACAATCTTTGTCCCCATGTGCAGTTGCAAACCGTAGTCTGGCTTTTTTATGGCGGTTTTGGAGCAGTGGCTTCTTCCTTGCTGAGCGGCCTTTCAGTTTATGTCAATATAGGACTCGTTTTACTGCGGATATAAATCATTTTGTACCTGTTTCGTCCAGCATCTTCACAAGGTCCTTTGCTGTTGTTCTGGGATTGATTTGCACTTTTCGCACCAAAGTACGTTCATCTCTAGGAGACAGAACGCGTCTCCTTCCTGAGCGGTATGATGGCTGCGTGGTCCCATGGTGTTTATACTTGCGTACTATTGTTTGTACAGATGTATGTGGTACCTTCAGGCGTTTGGAAATTGCTCCTAAGGATGAACCAGACTTGTGGATGTCTACAATATTTTTTCTGAGGTCTTGGCTGATTTCTTTTCATTTTCCCATGATGTCAAGCAAATAGGCACTGAGTTTGAAGGTAGGCCTTGAAATACATCCACAGGTACACTTCCAATTGACTCAAATGATGTCAATTAGCCTATCAGAAGCTTCTAAAGCCGTGACATCATTTTCTGGAATTATCCAAGCTGTTTAAAGGCACAGTCAACTTAGTGTATGTAAACTTCTGACCCACTGGAATTGTGATACAGTGAATTATAAGTGAAATAATCTGTCTGTAAACAATTGTTGGAAAAATTACTTGTATCATGCACAAAGTAGATGTCCTAACCGACTTGCCAAAACTATAGTTTGTTAACAAGACATTTGTGGAGTGGTTGAAAAACGAGTTTTAATGACTCCAACCTAAGTGTATGTAAACTTCCGACTTCAACTGTAAGTCATTGAGGTGTGACAGCAACTGATGCACTATCTTACTGAGTGGCTGTTCCGTAAGTGTGCCATTTATCACAATAGAGGTATTAGTCTAATCCTCCATCTGCCACTCTAATACAGTCAGTGTAGTTCTAACTGGCTTTGATAGTTGTAACATTGTTACAGGTTTGTCTCCTGTTTCAGTAGGTCAGTGAGAGTCTGAGACATAGAGATCCTATAATTAAGTTAATTCATTGAATGGATATCTCGTGGCCTATGGTGGTCTAGCGGTCTAAGCCGCTGACCACGGCACACATGTATACCAGAGTCGGCATGGATTCAAATCAGGCCCACTGTTCTATCTCTTCAATAAAAGCTCAAAAATTACAAAAGGAGTGTGACTGCCACAGTCGTTAAAAAAAGAACATTGTAAAATAATTATAGAATATCTATGGTCAGACAGGCTTGCAACTAGAATGTGACGTCATTGACCAGAGCATATTAAAAGGTATGCCTACTGGGTGATCAGCATCCAGGTCTAAGCCATACATCAAGACACGGTTAGCACACATGTCCAGGTCTGAGATTTTCTTTGGGAACCAGGGAATATCTTCAGTGTCTGAAACAAAAAAAAAACATGGGATGATCTGGGATGGCCTCTACACTAGATTTTAGTCATGGTCAGACCTATCTGGGATCCTTGGGACATCCCTACCCCACTGAAGTTTACATTTTAAAATGGTTAAGGTAAGGGTTATGGGTAGGTACGGATATGGTTATGGTTCGAGTAAGGGTAGGGGTTAAGGTTAGGGTTTAGGGTAGGGACGTCCCAAGGATTCCGGATAGCACTGACCCTTTAGTAACCTCGTACAACCATCCGGAAGTCTCTCTTTCGCTGCCGTAATCAGTCTGGTAATAGGTAATAGGCCTACGAGGCTAGACTTTAGGGACTCTGAAATCATTTCAAAAGTAGCAGCTAGGCCTACCTTCTTCAGGCAGGCTGGAATTGTCAGGACTGGTCATGGTCCATATCAACTACGTTGGCGGCGTGCTTTCGTAGCAGCTCAGTGAGCTCCTTGAGTTGCTCATGGCCGCTGTCACAGTCAACAAAGATCTCAAACTCTGAGCCGCGCCGCCTTGATTTTCGGGACTCGATGTGAACAAGGTTGACGTGGTTCTCCTGGTGATGATAATAATAACAAGACATTTAAAGTGATGTCATTTATCTTGATGTACATGATTATGTCTCTACCGGTGTTGGGGAAGCTACTCTGAAAATATAGTTTACTAAGCTACCAATTACTTCACACTGGAAGAAGTTAAGCTACACTAAAGCTAACCTTAAGAAAAATATAGTTTACTTAACTAAATTAGTTAACTAGTCCAAACTACTTCGTGATAAATGATCATATCTAAATCTGAAATGTCATAGACTACAAGTTGCATGAACAGATCACTCTGGAGTCGGATGTTAACGGAATGTTCAATTTAGCCTATTAAACACAAAAACTATGTTTCAAGTGAGAATTAGGCAAGTCAGATGCTGAAAAAGAAAGGAAATTACTTCACCCATATTTTATTTTTGGAAAAAAGGTAGTGTGTAGTTCCAGTAGTTAGCTACACCTCTACATGGCCAAAAAAAGTTATTCACTTCTGAAAATACTCCCAAGATTTGAATTGAGTTCAACTACCACCAAACCACTGCAAACTGTAGTTAAATTACTAGTTGAATTACATGTAGTTCACTACTTCCCAACACTGGTGTCTACCATCACCCGTTTGGTATATGCTAGCCTACTTTAAAATATTAAACCTTACTTGAAAAAGTTTTAGCGCCTTAACGAGCCCGCCAACTTCATTCTTGAGGGAGAAGGCGATGGCCGCGCGACCCTTTTCTAAAGAGCGACCATTCTCCCAAATTGAACTCTTGTTGTCCTTGTTCTCGTCGATCTTGGTGAAGGTACATTTTTTAATCTGTTGGGAAAAGAGAGGGAAAATATTTATGAAAAACAAACCTCGGAGCTGGCTAGGCCTATTTGTGGAAAGTAAGGATTTGGCTGTGTTTTGGGTTATGCTACACCATTTATCAAGGCTGAACAGGAAGTTAATTGTTTTGGAAAAGCACATCACCTCCGACGACAAATTTGTTTGAAAGGGCAAGGGGCGTTTTAGATGGACTGATAGGCCCACGGATTTGTTCAATATCCTGTGCGTAAGAGCCGTATTTGAACTAGAGTTTGCTAGCCTCACAAAGAAAGGGCACCTAAATCAAAAAATGTATTTACACAACCAAAGCTCACCAAAGTGTAAATGAAGAGTAAACAATCACAAGTATTCATTGCAGCTGAATGCAAACTGAATACTCCGCCTAATCAGGGTACTTCGAGATTTCAGCACTGGACAGCGACAACACTGGGCCGCGCTCAGACGCAATAAATAAAAAGATATAGGGACAAAATAATAAGATAATAATTTAGACTGATGTTGTTAGGTCTAAATATTTACCACACACTTAATTAGCCTATAGATTGGAAGCGTTAAACTGTCCCCCAAAAAAAATCCGGTAGGCAAAATTTATTTTGACCATGCTGAGTTGTGTCTGTCTCATTGTAAAGAGATCTGCAGGAGTAATCGCATTTGGTGACGAATGATAGCCCTCTCCAATCCAAATCCAACGCGGGATTATAGATGGCTACTTTCAGCGCAGCAATAAATCCATCAAGGGAACATATCCGTAGGATCCCCTGTAGCTCAGTTGGTAGAGCATGGTGCTTGCAACGCCAGGGTTGTGGGTTTGTTTCCCACGGGGGGGCAGTATGAAAATGTATGCACTCACTAACTGTAAGTCGCTCTGGATAAGAGCGTCTGCTAAATGACTAAAATGTAAAATGTAAATGTATTCTCTTATCATCTTTAGGTGTTCAAATTGTTGATTTTGTCGGTGTGATTTCAGTTAATGCCAAATGGTTTTTGGGGCCAGTCTATGCCGATCATCAGAATATTTTAAGCATTTTTGGAATAGGCTAATTAAGCTAAATTAAATGTACATCAACTCACAGGAAATACCATTAAAATCAACATGTTGTACACAAACTCGCAAATGCTTATCAATTACGTGCATGGTTTTAGTTTATATCTCAGTGATATGCCTAAATCTAGATGCTGTGGCTCGTTGTGAACACAGACAAATTAACTTTCTTTCATCCAGTCGGATGTCTGCGAAGGTTTGCGGTGTGAGCGTTCTGAAAAGTTATGAATGCGTGATCCTTTATTTCACTTAACAATAATGTGTCTTGCAATGACCTCCTTATTGTATGACGTAGGCTACGCATCTCATTTGTCTCCAGATTTAGGTGGTTTATGGCACCAGTAAGAGAGCTAGCTAAACCTAACCAGAGGTGAACATAAATAAATGAACTAATGAAGTGGAGGTTAAGATTACAGATTGGCGCAACAAAAGTAAATGCTTTATGTTTGATTATTCAAGCCTTTGACAAAAGCTTATTAATGACACCCAAAGACAAGTCACAATTCAACGTAAAATAACTGTTAATTTGTATTGTTGCATGAAAAATAATTTCGTTTAGCTTAGCCAGTTATTATTTACTTACAATATAAATATAATTTACCTCATTATTCAGTTGCTTTTCTTCGTAACACGTATGCAATGAAGAACTCATAGAGTCGAAAGACCTTCCTCTGCGCGGCCCGTCAATCTTGTTTGAATACATGTCAAAGTTCTTTGATTAATATGTTTGAGTGAGAATAAGTAAGGCAGCCCACTACCGCTGTAACGGCTATGATATACCTATGAGTCTCTCACTCAAAGCACAAGGCGCCTCAGTATTTATGAACACTGAGTGGAAGGAGGGGGTGGGGATGGGGTGGGGGGAGGAGGAGTGCACGTGTCAGGACTACGCGGAAAATAAGGAGTATCAACACTAAATGCCTAAATGTAACATGGTAATGGTTATAAAACTAACCTCACGATAATGTCACACACTGATGTGTACAAAATATTTACTTTTATGAAGGGAATCAGTACCCTATAATAATGAGGCACTGTTGGTGTAGTTGTGATCCCTTGCTAATTGACACAAGAGAAGCCTATCATACAGCCTTCACCAACAACAAAACATCCCAGGTCTAAGGGTTTTTATATCGATATCATATCATATACAGTACCGGTCAAAAGTTTTAGAACACCTACTCATTCAAGGGTTTTTCTTTATTTTTACTATATTCTACATTGTAGAATAATAGTGAAGACATCAAAACAATGAAATAACACATGTTGAATCATGTAGTAACCAAAAAAGTGTTAAACAAATTAAAATATATTTTCTATTTGAGATTCTTCAAATAGCCACCCTTTGCCTTGCTGACAGCTTTGCACACTCTTGGCATTCTATCAACCAGCTTCACCTGGAATGCTTTTCCAACAGTCTTGAAAGAGTTCCCACATATGCTGAGCACTTGTTGGCTGCTTTTCCTTCACTCTGCGGTCCGACTCATCCCAAACCATCGCTATTTGATTGAGGTCGGGGAATTTTGGAGGCCAGGTCATCTGATGCAGCACTCCATCACTCTCCTTCTTGGTAAAATAGCCCATACACAGCCTGGAGGTGTGTTGGGTCATTGTCCTGTTGAAAAACAAATGATAGTCCCACTAAACCCAAACCAGATGGGAAGGCGTATCGCTGCAGAATGCAGTGGTAGCCATGCTGGTTAAGTGTGCCTTGAATTTGAAATAAATCACAGACAGTGTCACCAGCAAAGCACCCCCACACCATAACACCTCCTCCTCCATGCTTTACAGTGGGAAATACACATGCAGAGATCATCCATTCACCCACACCGTGTCTCACAAAGCCACGGCGGTTGGAACCCAAACTCTCAAATTTGGACTCCAGACCAAAGGACACATTTCCACCGGTCTAATGTCCATTGCTTGGGTTTCTTGGCCCAAGCAAGTCTCTTCTTCTTATTGGTGTCATTTAGTAGTGGTTTCTTTGCAGCAATTCGACCATGAAGGCCTGATTCACACAGAATCCTCTGAACAATTGATGTTGAGATGTGTCTGTTACTTGAACTCTGTGAAGCATTTATTTGGGCTGCAATTTCTGAGGCTGGTAACTCTAAAACTTATCCTCTGCAGCAGAGGTAACTCTGGGTCTTCTATTCCTGTGGCGGTCCTCATGAGAGCCAGTTTCATCATAGCGCTTGACTTGGTCTTATACCAAATAGTGCTATCTTCTGTACCCCCCCCCCACACACACACACACACCTTGTCACAACCAAAACTGATTGGCTTAAACACATTAAGAAGGAAATACATTTCACAAATGAACTTTTAAGAAGGAACATCTGTTAATTGAAATGCATTCCAGGTGACTACCTCATGAAGCTGGTTGAGAGAATGCCATGCATGTGGAAAGCTGTCATCAAGGGAAAGGATGGCTATTTGAAGAATCTCAAATAGAAAATATATTTGGATTTGTTTAAGACTTTTTTGGTTAATACATGATTCCAAATGTGTTATTTCATAGTTTTGATGCCTTCACTATTATTCTACATGTAGAAAATAGTAAAAATAAAGAAAAACCACACAATCCCAACTACTCATCCACATAACAATTTCAGCACCACAGCATATTGGACAGCTCCCCGCGTCTGGACAGTTTTGCGGCTTCCAAAATAAGAGATCTATCTATACGGCACTCACAAAACGTGACCTGTTGTAGACCTTGACATTTTCACATTTGTTTGTTGTACAATTAGTCATTGTAGTCTTCCAATTGTTCTCTTTTGAGTGTGGTTAGAGAACGTTTTGAAAGACTCCTGTTGAGTAAAGGCCACAGAAAAGACCAAACATTAATGTAACTAAGAGTATATTAAATAGTGGTGACAGATACTCCTGCCCCGCTTCCCATCGCAGTCAGTGCCTTCGGAAAGTATTCAGACCCCTTGACTTTTTCCACATTTTGTTACGTTACAGTGTTATTCTAAAATGGATTTAAAAAATAAAATAATCCTCAGCAATCTACACACAATACCCCATAACGACAAAGCGAAAACACGTTTTTAGACATTTTTGCACATTTAAAAAACAGAAATACCTTATTTACATAAGTATTCAAACCCTTTGCTATGAGACACGAAATTGAGCTCAGGTTCATCCTGTTTCCATTGATCATCCTTGAGATGTTTCTACAACTTGATTGGAGTCCACCTGTGGTAAATTCAATTGATTGGATATGATTTGGTAAGGCACACACTTGTCTATATAAGGTCCAACAGTTGACAGTGCATGTCAGAGCAAAAACCAAGCCATGAAGTCGAAGGAATTGTCCGTAGAGCTCCGAGACAGGATTGTGTCGAGGCACAGATCTGGGGAAGGGTACCAAAACATTTCTGCAGCATTGAAGGTCCCCAAGAACACAGTGGCCTCCATCATTAAATGGAAGAAGTTTGGAACCACCAAGACTCTTCCTAGAGCTGGCCGCCCGGCCAAACTGAACAATCAGGGGGAGAAGGGCCTTGGTCAGGGAGGTGACCAAACAACCCATGGTCCCTATGACAGAGCTCCAGAGTTCCTCTGTGGAGATGGGAGAAACCTTCCAGAAGGACAACCATCTCTGCAGCACTCCACCAATCAGGCCTTTATGGTAGTGTGGCCAGACAGAAGTCCACTCCTCAGTAAAAGACAGATGACAGCCCACTTGGAGTTTGCCAAAAGGCACCTAAAGACTCTCAGACCATGATAAACAAGATTCTATGGTCTGATGAAACCAAGATTGAACTCTTTGGCCTGAATGCCAAGTATCACGTCTGGAGAAAACCTGGCACCATCCCTACGGTGAAGCACGGTGGTGGCAGCATCATGCTGTGGGGATATTTTTCAGTGGCAGGGACTGAGAGACTAGTCAGGATCGAGGCAAAGATGAACGGAGCAAAGGACAGAGAGATCCTTGATGAAAACATGCTCCAGAGCGATTAGGACCTCTGACTGGGGCGAAGGTTTACCTTCCAACAGGACAACGACCCTAAGCACACAGCCAAGACAATGCAGGAGTGGCTTCGGGACAAGTCTCTGAATGTCCTTGAGTGACTCAGCCAGAGCCTGGACTTGAACCCAATCGAACATCTCTGGAGAGACCTGAAAATAGCTGTGCAGCAACGCTCCCCATCCAACCTGACAGAGCTTGAGAGGATCTGCAGAGAGGAATGGGAGAAACTCCCCAAATACAGGTGTGCCAAGCTTGTAGTGTCATACCCAAGAAGACTCAAGGCTGTAATTGCTGCCAAAGGTGCTCCAACAAAGTACTGAGTAAAGGGTCTGAATACTTATGTAAATGTGATATTTCCGTTTTTTATTTTTAATACATTTACAAAAATGTCTAATAACCTGTTTTTGCTTTGTCATTATGGGGTATTGTGTGTAGATTGATGAGGGAAAAAAACAATTTAATCAAATTTAGGAGAAGGCTGTAACATAACAAAATTTGGAAAAATTCAAGGGGTCTGAATACTTTCAGAATACACTGTACTTCCTGAAAAACTCCAGGACCCAGTCACACATGTTAGGCTACTGTATGACGAACCTGAGGGAGCGGGGGCGTTATGTTCCTAAGGGGGCTTGGTACAACATCATAAAGGTGTTAATGAACACTGGTCGTATTATAATAATGATGTGGATCTTATGAGCAATTCTTGTGTTTACAAGCTCACACTGTTAGTAATTGCATTAAAAGTGCAAATAATGAGGGTTTCCTATTGGAAAAATAAGTGCAACACATGACTAATCTTTTATTCAGACATTCTCACGCAACCGCTCCTGCTTTATTGGTCTTTGTCTCTACCTCCACTCCTCGGTCACTAGACTGAGAGACTGACGTAGGCTAGCCATGTCTGCCGGTAAACAAGACTGACCACGCGCTGCTTTGTGCGTCTCAAATACCCATCTAATTAGACCATGTGCAAAGAGGCTACTCAGCAGCCCAATTCACTTCTACCTCTGACTGAATTGGAAAAGAGCCAGTTTTAGCCGGATTAGTGGAAAATAGTTCAATACTGGTTGTGTGAAGTGTTCTGTGCAAGGTAGCCTGTATACAGTTGTAGGCTACACAATATTTGGGAGGATTTGTGTGTGTGTTACATGAGAGGTCTAGGACCTCCGTAAGTGAGGGGATACATAGATCTGAGGATCGGGCTGGGTGTCTATCTAGGAATGAGGATATGGTTTCATGTTTAGCCTAATTAGTATAGATAGTCTGAGTGGATGGATATTATTTGACCTCTCTTCAGTTTGTGGTGGGAAAAGTGCAGTAATGAGGCCAGGAATCCAGTAATATCCCAGAAATTATTATAGTTATAGGAAATATTTTTGTGATGCCTTCTATAGTATACTGTTTAGCTGATTAGGTTCTCACACAAGCCACCCTCACTTGCACTTTTTTTTACATTAGCAAATAAATATAATAAAACAATTTTAAAAGTTCATATTTTGCCAATAGGTTTACCATTAAGCAGCCTGACATATTTGACATATATTTTTTAATGTACAGAGCACACATTTTTCTGTCAATTATCCTTTGGAAACAGCAGCCATATTCACATTCACAACATCACATCCTGTCTGTGGGAAACTCAATCTGAGACCTGGCCCATTCAAATATACGTACTTACAATTCAATGTCAGATCCATCACTATGATGTCTAATGTAGTTAAGGAGCTCAGTCCCTCTACACTCCAGCCAATATAACTATGAAGCCTTGTGTGTATTCATGTTCTCTAAAGTAGCCATGGAGCCTGGACCATCTTCATACAGTCTAATGATCAGTATCCGGTATAATGCAAGACAGCATATTCATCATTATCCCCTCATTCAAGTTCATTTACGCTCTTATTGGTTCGCGTCAGGTTTCATTTTGTCTTTCAATTGCATGGACCTTTGTCTGGACTGGATAGATTACTGCAAGTTGAATTTGGTTCAAAATCTTAGTCTATCAAAATATAAAGCAAACTGAAATAAGGGCCTATGTTGACTCCTTTATTGGCAATGCAATAATGGGTCAGGGTGCAATCAGATTTAATCGTTGATGTCTTTGTGTGGACAACAGACACCCTTGTGATAAATGCATGGTAACATTGTGAGTTGACATTGAGAAGACCCAGATTTCAGACAACTGTGATGTCCTGGTTTAGCACCTTGAAGGGATGAGCCTTTTGAGATGCATTGAGATTGGAGAGAAGGATTATTGCACAGCATGAGATTTACTTAATCTGTGCCTCCCTCATCTCTTCCACATCGGCAACAACCAGGCTGAGGTGTGAGTCACCATGTCAGAGAAGATTGCATGACTACCATGACCTTCACACTGAAGACATTTAGAAGATTTGTCTGGTAGAATTTTTGCCAAGCATTGAAAAATGTATTCAAAGATCAGTTTATTGACTAGTTGCTCAAACCTCTCTTTTCATTTGTCAAATGTTTTGATTGAAGGGAAACATTTGATACATAATTGGTACCCCCATATTTAATGCCCCTCTGTTTACCAGACTTTCTCACATCACTTTCCAGAAAAGCTCAAGCTTGTCTAAAACCTAGCGCATGTGAGAGGTCAGTCAGAGGAGGTGAGGATGATGAGAGTGAGCCAGGGGCTGAGAGAGAGTCTCATTTTAGGAGGGTCTGCATGGGGATTACTGGACTCTGATCCTGTTCATCGCTACCCATTGACCCCCACTTTCTCTCCTCTACCCTCCTTCACATCCTTTCAGTCAATTTGGCCTCAGTATATAAGGACAGATGAGAATTGAATTCTAGTTTAAGGTGTGTTATTAAAATCATGTAACACTGCTTCACTCAACTGATTCTCTCACCAGATGTTTAACTTACAATTTCTAATTTCTTAATTCTACCACATTAATGAATTTCCTTATTATGATACAATGCATGGAAGAAAGGGAATGAGAATAAACAGTAATGGAACATACACTCCCATACATACATTATGTATTTGAAGGTGATAGTACTGTCACGATCATCGTAATGAGTGGACCAAGGCGCAGCGTGAAATGCGTACATCTTTTATTGAGTACTATTAACAATAACAAAACAACAAAACGAAACGTGAAGTCCTCGGTCATAAACACAAACCTACACGGAACAAGATCCCACAAAACACAAGTGCAAAACAGGCTGCCTAAGTATGGTTCCCAATCAGAGACAACGAGCCACAGCTGTCTCTAATTGGGAACCACCCTGGCCAACATAGAAATAAACGATCTAGAAAGAAACACATAGAAAACAAAACATAGACACTACACACCCTGGCTCAACATTTAAGAGTCCCCAGAGCCAGGGCGTGACAAGTACAAAATGACACATTTTATTTTAGGGTATTTTAATACATACAGTGGGGTCCGAAATGATTGACACCCTTGATAAAGATGAGAAGAAAAAATTAAAATAAAAAATATTTAAAATACTGGGGAAATAATTAGGAAATTATATTATCAGAGAAAGGGTTTTTGTTTAACAAGTAATATTTTTTTTTCTCAAAAAGGTAGGGGACAAAATTATTTACGCCTCTGTTTTCAATACCTTTCAATACCTCACCTTACTAGAACAACGGCACTGAGCCTTTTTCTAAAATATTGGAGAACACATTGGGAAAGATCTTAGACCATTACTCCATACAGAATCCATCAAGATCCTTGATATCCTTCGTCTGCGCTTATGGACTGCCCTCTTCAATTCAAACCACAAGTTTTCAATGGGTTTCAAGATTGAGATGAGATGGCCATTGCAAAATGTTGATGTTGTGGCCAATTAACCATTTCCATGTGGAATTTGATGTGTGCTTGGTGTGAATAATAATAAATATCATACCAAATATCATGTTTTTGGGGCATGATCTTTGTGCATCAGTAACTTTCTAACTCATCACTATTCACGATTCATTCATGATTATCCGTAATCATGGTAGCATCCACATTAATGTAGAAGTGTTCAGAAACATATCCTATTCTTATTTATAATAAAAGTGACTCCAAAATGACACAATACATTATTTACCATTAATTTCTATTGGATGGTAAATAATCTGAAACACAACCAAAACAAACTGCAAATGCATCCAACAAGTTTGTTAGACACAAGCTTGATGTAGTCATTGCGTGCTAGGAAAATGGGACCAAATACTAAAACTTTGACTACATTTAATACACTAAAAGGGAATTTGTCCAAATACTTATGACACCTTCAAATGGGGGGACTAGAGACATAAAGTGCTGACATTTCTAAATGGTAAAACAGATATGTATGAAAATGCCCTCACATAAAATGTGACATTCTGTGCTAAGGCCTCATACTTTATAAAACATTTCATCTCAAATCCCAAACACTGGAGTATAGAGCCAAATTAAACGTTTTAGCTTCACTGTCCAAAAAAAACTGGGAAATATTGTCTAGACTAATTAATAATAGGAACAGACTGGTAAAAATTATGTACATTTGCACTACTATGCAAAGGTTTGAAAATGATGTTTAATTGTTTGGTATGGTCATAGATTCTTTGTGCTACATTGTCAATGTTTTTTGTATACCTGCAACTGTGATTCACGTGTAGCGGAGATGTTAATTAAGAAGACTGAGTGTATGCATCTCTCTTTCAGCAGGAGAGTGTCTTTTGTCAGAGCCCTTTTTGAAGAGTCCTCTATTATGGGGGAGGAAAGCTATGCTCACCCATCTGATTATCAGAAAACCTGCTTTTCATTCGGTTCCTCTGCATCTATCACCCATGTGACAACCAGAATTAAGCTTCTATTCTCCCCATGGATCCATTGGAACCTATTCGATAAACATTGAACACCTGTCTGTCACCTTTGTATAAGAAGTAGACTCATGTGTAAAACAAAGGTTAAGAAATATATCTTACTGTAAACATAGCATCTAAAAAAACATACATCGAGAAAATGATGGCAGTGGTGGTGGTGGTGTAACCATGTTGGCCAACTGTCTAGATCAGATTCCACAATAAGCATGTATATCACTGTTCCAGGAATGTGGTGTAATTATACGACTGTTGAGCAGACTACGTGGAGGGAGCTAATTGAAGAGCACTGTATTTGTCACTGATGTTGGAATGGCTGAAGAGGTGATGTGTCTGGGTTGATGGGCCAGGGAGGATCTCACGTAGTGATGTAGGCTACATGTATACATTTGTATGCAATAATTGACTGTCTGGAGAAAATCTGTATCAGTACATCTGGACAATATTTCCCTTCTACTGTGAGAGCTGCATCTTGTCTCGCCATAACTGTTTTCCATGAAAACAGTATAGCCATGGCTGAGCCACGTGAAAGCAGGAAGACAGGTTTGACGTAGGAGGGCAGGGTGCAAACATGTGCAGTCAAGAGAGTGGACATGATGAGAAAATATGAATGCATGGTTCAATGGAAATTCAGGTTGTCAGGTCCACTTTGTTCAAGACATGGATCCACGGGATGAATGACAGCTAAAGGAAAGCTCTGGGGCAACAGTGAACGGGAAGTCAAATCATATTATCTGTATGGCCATGAACCTGAATGTGGGCGTTTAATTGCATGGGGGAATAGTCTTGATAATATTATCTGATAGAGAACATGTAGAGCGAATAAGATGAAATACGATGTACAGAGTACGACAACTACACATAGGCCTATGTACTGTATCAAATAAAATATCTGGCACATTTTGTCCCGTTTTCAGAACATATTGCCCTGCCTTCTCTCTACGCATATCAATGTGTTCTGTATCAAGAAGCTCACTGTGTCTCTCTATAGTTCATTCCCTCCAACCTTAGTCTGGCAGTCTCTCTCTGCCTTCTATAGGCAAATAGGGGTCCATGCTTTAGGTATATTTTTACATTTTAGTCATTTAGCCAACGCTCTTATCCAGAGTGACTTACAGTTAGTGAGTCCATACATTTTCATACTGGCCCCCCGTGGGAAACGAACCCACAACCCTGGTGTTGCAAGCGCCATTCTCTACCAATTGAGCTACAGGGGACTACGACTAGATGAACAGAGATAGGCCCTACCACTGTCTCTAATTCTAAGACTGCATCATTCATGATACTGTACCCCCAGCCCCCACCCAAAGAGTTTGTGTTTGCATGCAACCATAGACTGTATTTAACAAGTCTTTGTGGTTTCCAAAAGTGATGACAGCAGCACCACCAGTGTGAAGGACCAAGGAAACATTTTTTTCAATCTCAACATAGACACACATTTCACACATGATGAAACTTTATGAAAATTGTCTCAAACTAAATACATACTGAATAGGCCTGCACGATACAAAAGGCATAACTTGCACATAGATTGTAGTACCATGCGGTCAAAATGACAGAATCCAAACATTTATCTTTCACACATATGATAAAGTGACATGTAGCTGTGTTTATCCATGAAATTGTTGCTGTTGTCTCTCTCTGCTAGATTATACTAACTAAAAGTATTTCTGAAACAGCATTCACCATTCATCAATAACACCACCACTAACTGTACTTGAAATGAGTGGCCGACTGCACCACTTTTCACGCCCTGGGAATCTTGGAGTTGGCTCATTCGCTCTAAAAATGCCTGTTGTCTGACGTTTACACATCCTGAGCCCCCAGTCTCTGGGCCATGTCTCCGCCTCTTTAACAGAAACCTACTCCCGAACAGCTGAAATAGAGTTTATTTACGGTCTGACTGCAGAGAATAGGTTAAAAAAATATAATATATCGCGTTTAACAAAATGCCTGCAGTCTCTAAAGGAGATGGAATGCGTGGCCTCGCTGTGTTTATATCCGACATAAGGAACTGTGAGTAGATGATGTTGACCTGTTGATTAGCCACTAGTAGCTGCTAGCTTAGCTAGCTACATTTCATTTGAGAGGAATGCAAGGCTAGCTATAAAACAAGCTACGTAAAGGCACACGCGCTCCATGTTTAAACAGCTAGCTACTTAATTAACAAAAAACGTAACTTGTTGCCTTCCAACTAGCTAACCTGCCAACGTCAGTTAACGGTAGTTAACAAACTGACGTTAGCCATGATAGCTAGCCAACGTTAGCTAGATTGAAGCAAAAATAGCCCGCTAAGGACGGTAGCTAATTATGTTTTCCTAAGCAAATTTCCAAACTGAAATAAAGGTAAATAGCTAGCTACACAGACAGCCAATTCAAGCTTTTACTAGTTATACTTAGCTAACTAGCTGGTTTAATGTCATGCTAAACTAGCTAGCTAGTTTGGCAAACTAGCTAATGGGCGTGGGTCACACAGCGCAGAGTCAGGAAATAAAACATGGCATGGTAACTTTAATCATTTTGGCTGGCTGGTGTTACACCGTTTTATTTGGTGATGGCTATAATCTGCTAGCAAACTAGTTTGCTAGCTACCTATACACATGTTGACTAACTAGCTGGCTAATTAGCTAACTTTTTCTCTAGCAACTATCATCATGCTCTGTCTATGAATGAGTATGTATTCCTCCGACAACAACACTAGTAGCTGGATTGCATACACTACCATCAAGAAACCCAGCTGCAGTGCAGGGTTTTGTGGTGGTTGGACTGGGAACATTCACCTAGACTAGAGCCATGGAAGTCTAAATGTGCTCCGTGAGCAAATTAGTCTATTTAGAGCACTAGTTTCCTTGCCTTAATTCATAGAGACAGTGAAGATGACCAACTTTTCATAACTTCAATGTAGGTGTGAATGAGGCAGGCTACAGATCCATGCAGACAAACTGATCCTAAACTGTAGGTCTGGATCTGTTCCTCCCGACCCAGGTATGCTCTCCTGACCTAAATCCATGCTGTAATTTAGGCATCCTACTACTAAGACCGTTGCTCCTGAAGGGCATCCAATTTATTTCCTGACCTCACCTCCCCAGTTCATGGTGCATAGGCACATCAATACACATACTTTGCAGAAAATAAAAGAAACAATCAATAATTTAGCCCAGTCTATGAGTACTGTGGTACAGTCAAACTATTTTTTCCGTTCTGCAAGTGCTGTAGTTCAGTCTTGCAACTGCAGAGTTTATGGACTATACAGATGACATTGAACATATAACACGTTTTATTTTCCATTTCAGGTAAAAGTAAAGAAGCAGAGATCAAGAGAATTAACAAAGAGTTGGCCAACATCCGCTCAAAATTTAAAGGTAAGCCAAGCAAAGGCCTTTAAATCTGGGTGTGAACACACTTTGGTGTCTGAAGGTTCAACATAAAGTTTGTGGGAACTGACACTAGTCATTTACCGGAGATCACCATGCAGATATGTAGCTACGCTGAATGTCAGAAGTGTTTTCTCTACCACCTGTTCCATCTTGTCTAAAATAAGTCAGCTGTTCCAAAGTGAAAATGGATAGTGGCTCCTATAACATCAGGTGACTTGTGTTTTGGTGGGTAGAAAACATGTAGGGCCTATCTGCAAAGTTGCTTTTGAGGGGCTTATGGGCCAGCTCATTTGTATCATGAAACAACACATTTGTATGGAAAGGCTTGCCTTCCAAACTGATGGAGTACTTAGGCTACCACTGAGGCAGGCTATTTGGTTAAAGAATGATTCCCCCTAAAAAGCAACTTCTTATTTTGAAAAGGTATTCTAGTGTCAAAATGTACTACTGTGTAAATAGGATACTTTTGGTCATAAAGTCAGTCTTGTCCAAAACTGAGATTTGCGAGATGATAGGAAAAGGTCAGTACCTCCAAATTTCAATGACATAAAAACCTCAAACCAACTATAAATTGTAGAAATTCATAAAATATTGTCCCATTTACATTGTATAATTTATTGACGGTCCCTAACTATCCCCAGAGGTGGGCTATATTCAAGTTCAGTGAGGCAAGGAGAAGCTAAAGGGCATAGCCGGACAGGGAGAGTTGTTGAGTCAACTGTTCTGTCAGGAAGCTGAGGGGGGCACAGTATGTCAGCAGGCTGGAATCCTTTCCCCTGTTTTCCCGAGGAACTTCCTGTGGAGCTCTACAGAAAATCTCTCTTTCTCTCTCTTTTTCTCTTCCTCCTCTCTCTTGCTCCTTTATTCTCTTTTTCTCTCTCTCTCTCTCTCACTCTCACCATACACACATTCATTAAAGGTTTTATGATTGTGATGTAAACATCTTCATGTTTATCTTACTTTGAACCAAATAATACTTAGTTTACGCAGAAAGTTCAGAAAAGAGAGAAAGAGAAAATTATAGCCTTATCTTAGAGAAACTCCTTATGCAGTGTCCAACTAATCCTTAATGTAGAGCCCCTCCTAATCTCTCTCACGGGACAACGTCGCCACACACAGTAGGAGGTGGGGTTCCAGACTGGTGGGGGCTACAGTAAACCCCCATTCCCACTTTCAGAATGCTGTTGCAGCTCTTCATGCTATAATGTGCGTTGGTCTGCATTTGGTAGCGCACTTCCAGGTTTCCTGTAAGCGGCATTGGACATTCTTTATTTATTCGTGCAACGTTCTGAATCTGTCATTATTTTCATTGCACAGCTGCACTCATTTGGCCTCCCTCCATTTGTCCTCTTTCACCATGGTGAAAAAAGTGCTGCACTCAGCTTTTGTCTTGTGGTGCTGACTCACCCTCTCCTCCACTACAGTTGGTTGTGGGATTGATTTACCTAGCAACATGGAATGTCGTACTCATATCTATTCCTAAGTAGGTTTCTCGTTTTTGTTCCCAGAATAGGAGTGCTTAGCATGTTGCTCTTTTAGGCCTCCGTGCTTCAGATTAGGATTCATTTTAAAAGAGAGTAACACTAAAGCTCCGTGCTCTCAAACACGTGATCAGTCATGGTGACTTGGCTTGCCTTAAAAGTATTTCCTTCCAGTTTGACTTTTTTCCTATTTTTTTTTGCTTTTAAATCTTCATAGTCATGACAGCAACCTTTCTATTTTGCTGCAGGGGATAAAGCACTAGATGGATACAGTAAGAAGAAATATGTGTGCAAGCTGCTTTTCATATTCCTTCTTGGCCATGACATCGACTTTGGCCACATGGAGGCAGTCAACCTGCTCAGTTCCAACAAGTACACAGAGAAACAAATTGTGAGTAAAGAAGGTCTTTGAATTTGATTGCATGACTGTAAGTGAGTGGATTAAGTTATGTATCTGATTGGACAAAAACACGTTGTTTATACCACAATCTATTCTCAAGGTTTATGTTAAACTATTATGATTACTTCCCTTTAATTCCTTTCAGGTTTGATAAACCCTTTGTTTCTATCCAACTCCACAGGGTTACCTGTTCATCTCAGTGTTGGTCAACTCAAACAGTGACCTCATCAGCCTTATCAACAATGCCATAAAGAATGACCTGTCCAGCAGGAATCCCACTTTCATGAACCTGGCCTTGCACTGCATTGCCAATGTGGGCAGCAGGGAGATGGCTGAGGCTTTTGCAGCTGAGGTGCCCCGCATCCTGGTGGCTGGGTAAGAAAGGGTAGTGGTGTGGAGCAGACTTAGCCTAATGACCGAGGTACCCTCTCTGTCAGTTTAACATTGAGGCTGTAACTTTCAGTCAGTCAGGCCTCTTTGTAAAAAACATTAAGCTATGTGCCAGTTAAGTGATGCTGATGTGCTGTCATAATTTGCAAGGGTTTGTCTTGCAGGGACACCATGGACAGTGTGAAGCAGAGTGCTGCCCTGTGCCTACTGCGTCTCAACAGGACCTCTCCAGACCTAGTGCCCATGGGGGAGTGGACCGCCCGGGTGGTTCATCTACTCAATGACCAGCACTTGGTACGGCCTGCCATGGGTTCAGGGGTTATTATGAGAGGACTGTGGACCTTTGGTGTTAGTGAGGAAGATTTGGAATGGGTGGTGTGTGGATGAGAGGATTCTTTCACCATGACTTTCTCTGTCTTCATTGTTAGGGCTATGTTTGAGACAAATTAATATTTTGTGTGCGTAATGAGGGAAAAACATTGCAATATTCTGGGATTTGTTTGTGTATAGTGTAATGCTAATGATTAGCTGTTTGTGTGTAATGGCAGTTGTATTACTTCCCTTTTCCGCAGGGTGTGGTGACCGCTGCCACCAGCCTGATCACCACACTGGCACAGAAGAGCCCAGAGGACTTCAAGACCTCTGTCTCCTTGGCTGTAGCCAGACTCAGCAGGGTGGGCATATGGCAGTGTGCAGGGCTTTTCTTTCATTTCTTTCATCAATATATCACGTTTTATTTCAGGTTTTGTCCAATGTCTACTTTTGACCATTGAATATCATTATAAACCTTAGATATTAGTCAGTTGTTTGCTTGAGGCGTAATGTGTTAGTCATGTCTCATGTCCTCCTGTTCTCTAGATCGTCTCCTCGGCCTCCACTGACCTGCAGGACTACACCTACTATTTTGTTGCAGCTCCCTGGCTTTCTGTCAAGCTCCTGCGTCTCCTACAGTGCTATCCACCGCCTGGTAAGAAGCTGTGTGAGCATGAGGACCTGCGTGTGGTGTTTGACTGTATGAACATAATATTACTCAGAAAAGGACTGTAGTGTTGACGGGATGAACATAGTTGTCCTTTCATCTGTGGCACCCTTCCTCACCCTTGCCTGTCCCCACAGAGGATGGTGCGATCCGGGGCCGTCTGACGGAGTGTCTGGAAACCATCCTGAACAAGGCCCAGGAGCCTCCCAAGTCAAAGAAGGTGCAGCACTCCAACGCTAAGAATGCTGTGCTGTTTGAGGCCATCAGTCTAATCATCCACCATGACAGGTCAGTCCCTCTCGCAGTTGCAGCAGCTACGGAGGACCAATGTATTCAAGAAAGGCAGTTTGTATGTGTTGAGTTGGACTGTCCTTGTGACAATGGCACCAATGTCTGTCTTTCTCCCCACAGCGAGCCCACTCTGTTGGTGCGGGCCTGTAACCAGCTGGGCCAGTTCCTCCTGCACCGGGAGACTAACCTGCGCTACCTAGCCCTGGAGAGCATGTGCACCCTAGCCAGCTCTGAGTTCTCCCATGAGGCCGTTAAGACACATATCGAGACGGTCATAAATGCCCTCAAAGTACGCTAACACACCTGTACCTGCATTCAGAAGCTACATCTGCCAATCCTAGTATTGCAGTGTCTTCTTCAGTATATACTGTATGTATGGCTGTGTCTGTTTTGTTCCTGTTAGTGTGACTCTGCCTTAGTCCTGATGTTTGTGTTTGACCTGGTTGAATCCTGCAGACAGAGAGAGATGTCAGTGTGCGTCAGCGTGCTGTGGACCTGCTCTATGCCATGTGTGACCGCAGCAACTCCAAACAAATTGTAGCAGAGATGCTCAGCTACCTGGAGACTGCAGACTACTCCATCAGAGAGGAGATAGTGAGTTCTAGGCCAGCATCTAACCATTTCTCTAATATTTCTCTAATTTCACCAACCAAAAGTTCGTTATGATAGCTTCATGTTTTAAATGCCACTGATGTCATTTAGAATAATACATTCCTCAGAACTAAATAAAAACATGAATGGCATTGTTGTTAATCGTTCTTTGATCTGATAAGACAACCTCTCACCACAGGTGCTAAAGGTGGCAATCCTGGCAGAGAAGTATGCAGTTGACTACACCTGGTATGTTGACACCATCCTCAACCTGATCCGCTTCGCTGGGGACTATGTCAGTGACGAGGTCTGGTACCGCGTCATCCAGATCGTCATCAACAGAGATGAAGTGCAAGGTTATGCTGCCAAGACAGTGTTCGAGGTGCTTATTTTATTTTTAACTGAGCCATGGGGGGAAAATCTACCGAACTCATAGTAACCTAATGTTTGTCTGTCTGGATTTACTAATGGTGCTTCTGTTCTAGTGTAGGTTTGTTTCCTCAATCATATTAGTTTCAAGCAGCTCACTTCCGATGCTCATCACAGGCTCTGCCTGCTTGGATGTGACCTGTGAGGTCAGGGGGATGGAGAGTGTCATTCACTATTCACCACTAACCCTGTCTTTGTCTTCTCAGGGAGGAAACTGAGCCCGCTTTGGTTCAGCAATATGAGATGACTTGATTCTCTCTTCAGTCTCTCTGCTTGTGTCTGTCTCTGTCTCTCACTGGTAGGTCACTGTAAGATCCTAAAACAGACCGATGCAGACTGCTGCTCCATCCCTCCATCCCAGTTTTGTGGATGTGTAGTCTCGAGCCCTCCCTCCTCTTCAGTTTCATTGCCCATTTCCTCCACCACTGCATACTCTGACATCAGATACATTGATGTCTACTGCAGATATACATCCTTTCCGAACCAGTGAAACACCTTCCCATTTTTCCTTTAGTCAATTCCACCATAGTTTCAGCTTTGTTTTGTTTTATAGTCACCTTTGTCCCCATGTTCAGACTTGCTACCCCACATGTTGGTCTGCCCAGATTGAATCTCAACTTCATGACATACCCATCATGGGAATGCCCTCATGTGCATGTTAAGATCTGGTGACTGATATGCTCTCAGCCCCGTATCCCTCCACTCTGGTTGGAGTTTGTGTGGGATTCGCTTGATACCGTTTGTTGTGTTGCTCCCAAGTCCCCACCCACTCCAATCTATTATCCTATTTCATACATAACTCTGACTCTCTTTCCTTTCCACAGGCACTCCAGGCCCCGGCCTGCCATGAGAACCTGGTGAAGGTCGGAGGGTACATTCTAGGGGAGTTTGGGAACTTGATAGCAGGAGATTCAAGGTCAAGGTTAGTAACCAATCAATGCCATATATTTCAGTGATCCACTGTTATTCTGAGTTGGAGAAATGTACAGTCAATAATATATTTTGGAGCTGAGAACAGGCATCACTCACTGTGTGTCATCCGTTGACTGTGTCCTTCTTGCTCTGACTCCTTAGTCCACTCATCCAGTTTGACCTGCTCCACTCCAAGTTTCACCTGTGCTCGGTACCCACCCGGGCTTTGCTGCTCTCTGCCTACATCAAGTTCATCAACCTGTTCCCTGAGGTGAAGGGTACCATCCAGGAGGTGTTGCGCTCAGACAGCCAGCTCCGCAACGCAGACGTTGAGCTACAGCAGCGTGCTGTGGAGTACCTGCGCCTCAGCTGCATTGCCAGCACTGACATACTGGTCGGTGACATTCCACCCTGCCTTCGTGCCATCATAAGCCTGATTGATTGATTGCATTTATTAGAAAGTTAAAAGTAGTAGAATGCTCTAGCCGGAGACAACATTACATGCATTAGAAATGATCTAGCATAAAAAGACAATAAAGCCTGAATGCTTATTTCCATTGTGGTCCTCTATGGCAGCGAGATAGCAGTTGGGCAAGATTTACACTTTACATTTAATGCAATTAAAAACAAAACATTTATATTACACACATTTGGTTTTTAGTTGTTTCAGAATACAACCCACAGAAAATCTTTGTTGGTAGATAGACTGAAATTCAGAAAAGGATACTCTGTAGAGCCTCCAGTTCCTCCACCACAGGTCACTCCCTTCATTCCCCATTCATTCTGTGCTCCCGTCAAGGCCACGGTGCTGGAGGAGATGCCTCCCTTCCCTGAGAGGGAGTCCTCTATACTGGCCAAACTCAAGAGGAAGAAGGGACCAGGAAACCTGCATCCCGATTTGGATGAGAACCGCAAAGAACGCAGTGTCAATGGGGGTACTGCAGACCACAGCAGCACTACCACAAATGCCAAGGTATTACTGTTGTCCTGTGTTGTTTACTTATTAGAGCCTCCTTTTCCTCCTCTCCTGCCTACATTTCCTATTTTTCTGTCCTGGTCTTTTCCATAACTCTCCTCAGCTCTCTCGTTCTGTCCTGCCTTCACCGTTTCCTCCTCTCTTCATTAGAGCTCTCCTCTCTCGCTTGTTGGGGATCTTCTGGCCCCCGCCTCGACTGCACCCCCCACCAACCGGCCACGTCCGGTCTCCTCTTCCTCCCTACTGCAGGCCCCCCTCACCCCCGTGCCTCCTCAGGCCTCTGCTGTCCCCATGCTGCTCCCTGCTGGGCCCCTCTTTCAGGTTCTGGTTGTTTTGGATGCTCATGCTGGGTTTTTCACTTGTCACTTCCCTAACCTTAATACACTGTCCTAACAAGATCATGTAATCTGATCTGCTTACGGAATAAAGACAATTCCAGATGCTAAGATGACGCATTGCTTTTGTGTGAGCTTGATTACTTTGCAGTATATACAGTTTTTTTCTGTTTATTGTTGAGTCCTAAGTATAGTCCTAATAATTACAGATCCCCCCCCAGAGGTTTGTTTTGTTTTGCATGTTGTGTGTGTTGCACTGCTCTGTACTTTCATCAGCGATTTTTTTAACCGTAAGACCTATTGGAGCGGTTTACTGGTTCAGATCCTGACCTTCCGAAGTGAAGTAACTGTGACCATTACCTCTCCTAAGGTGGCCGCATCCCCCACTCCCTCCACAGACCTGCTTGGCCTGGGCAGCACCTCCACTATCACCACTCAAAACTCTGCCCCTCTTGCCTCCAAGGGGGCAAGCCTGCTTGTGGATGTCTTCTCTGAAAACCTAGCAGCCTTTCCTGTAGAGACACCAGTGGCAGTGGGGCCTGTTGCAGATGAGAACTTCTCCAGGTAAGGAGTGTCAGTGGGTCAAATATCAGAGGGAGGGAGGGAGGGGCTTTTTAACTGCATTGACCCCTCCTGAGCTTACTAAAACCTGGTGTGAATGTGCTCCTCTCGCCCTTTACATTCTCGCTGTGCATCTCACTCTTGGCTTCAGTTTCCTGCCGAATACTCCACAAGTAGCATACGCCACTCTGCCCACTGCAGAGGAACCTGAAGACAAGTAAGAGACGTCATCAGTGCAGTCTTTTCAAAACACTTGCATGCCCACAGCAGATTGCGCAGGTGAAAGGGACATTAGTTACATCCCTACTGTACACTGGGGGACTCTTGGCATCCTGGTTGGAATCCAATCCTGGGAGACAATACAGTACATTAAGCCCAAGATACCAGATATGAGATGCTTACCACTTGCGCCATTCCCTTACAGGTTTGTTTGCAAGAACAATGGTGTCCTGTACGAGAACCAGCTCCTCCAGATCGGCCTGAAGTCTGAATTCAGACAGAATCTGGGTGAGTAGGCCTCAGCAAAAATACATATGCACCTAAGTGTGATTATGATCAGGTTTTGACCCTTAGATCTTTAGGTTTTAATTCATTCTCTTGTTTTCTAACATATAGGTCGGATGTATGTGTTCTTTGGTAACAAGACATCAACCCAGTTCATGAATTTCGCTGCCTCTGTGGTCTGCCAAGATACTCTGCAGGCTCATATCCTTTACTAGAAGCTGTTATGTCATTTTCATCAATAATACCAGTATGCTGTTTTAATAAATCACTCCCAGTGTATATTATGAATAGTCTAGGGGTGGCTGTTTATTTCTCCCTATTGGGCCTTTTTCTTAACTGTTCCCCTACAACTGAATGTCCATGCCAAGCCTGCAGACCCCACTGTGGACGGGGGTGCACAACTCCAGCAGATACTCAACATTGAGTGTGTGTCTGACTTTGTGGATGCACCAGTGCTCAACATCCAGTTTAGGTAAGAATGTATTTTCTTCCTTTTTATATGCTCAATACATTGCATATCGAAGTGTGTGTTTCAGGGTGCAACTATTTGCCAGGTTGGTGATAAATGTTTGCATGAACATTGTTGGAAATGCTACTGTAGGGGGCCTCCTGAGTGGCGCAGCTGTCTAAGGCAATGCTTGAGGCGTCACTACAGACCCGGGTTCGATCCCAGGCTGTGTCACAACCGGCCGTGATCGGTCGTCAGTTGAACAGGGTTTCCTCCAACACATTGGTGCAGCTGGCTTCCGGGTTAAGCGGGCGGGTGTTAAGAAGCGTGGTTTGGCGGGTAATTTTTCGGAGGATGCGTGACTCGACCTTTGCCTCTCCCGAGCCCGTTGGGGAGTTGCAAAGATGAGACAAGTTCGCAATTGGATATCACAAAAAACAAGGAAATGCTACTGTATTTGTTTCCCAGTTATTGAACATTGTTTCACTCCTGTTTCTACCCACAGGTACGGTGGAACACTCCAGAACATTGCTGTTAAACTGCCTATTACTTTGAACAAGTTCTTCCAGCCTACAGAGATGACATCGCAGGACTTCTTTCAGCGCTGGAAACAACTTGGAGCGTAAGGAAACATATCTCTGCTATATACTTGGTCATATATCACAACATCTTTCTCTCTCTTTTAATATGGACACTATCAGTTTACTCCTCCTCGTATTCCGAGGACACAAAAGGGTTCATTCATTCAGATTGGCCTGCATGTGCAAATATTGATATAAATAGTGTGTACTATCTCTCACTATATATTTAAATGTGAAGGATTTGCCAACAGAATAGGTACACAGTGTCTTGTGAAAGTATTCCATTAGAGCTTGAGAAACGTTGCCAAGAGGAATAGATCAATGTTTTCCCAGGAGTGTGTGCAAAGTCTGTGGTGACTAATAAACGATTCACCGGTATTCCAGAAAGTGCTTCTACCAAATATTGATTCTTGTATGCAATCAAGGCATCTCTGTAGTAGGTAGTACAGATCAGTGAAATACATCTTAGTCTAATGCATTTTAATAAAATGCAACTAAATGTGAAAATTGTGCAAGGATGTCAACACGTTCACATGGAAATACATTTGTAGCTATTTTCCATCTTTCAGCAATAAGGTAAAACCTAGTGTAGTTACACATCCTTAACCGCTGAGGGCGAAGCTGCTAGTGGTATATGACTTGGACTTTCTCTACCCGCAGACCTCAGCAAGAGGTACAAAAGATCTTCAAAGCAAAGCATTCCATGGACACAGAGGTTACCAAAGCCAAGGTGAGATCCCTTTATGATTACAATTGCTATGGAGATTTTCTCTTGACTTGTGTGGGTTGCCTAGTAGCAGCACAACAGTTGGATTAGTTCATTGTTTTTTGTATGTTCATCAGCCCTTTCTTTATTCAAAATATACACCTGATAAGTAGATTTTGTTGATAGAAATGAAAGACGGAAGTGAGAAACTGCATGAAGGTCACCTGACTTCACTAGCAATGCTGTGTAACATGGTGACCACACCTCCTGCGTGGCATGGACTCTACAAGGTGTTGAGCCTTGCCAAATAAATGTGCACACGTTATTCAATGATTTCATCCAAACTGCTCGCACGCGTCAACGAGCGTCTGCGTAGCTAGGCACAAAAATTGAACTTGGTTCAATTTTTGACGTGCTGCATGTCCCGCCTGTCCCATCTCCTCATTGGTTTTCAGGAGTGTATATACACACGTGGGTGATTGAAAGCTGAACTGAGGTCCACGTTCTAGTCCAGTTGGTGGTAATGCACCTTAAAGTTGGTTGCCAACTGCCATATAAAGTCCACAGAAGAAGAAGACTGAAGGAGGAGAGATTACTAGAAACTAACTAGGTTTCTCCTTTTATCCGTGGATGAGTTGTCGGAGTAGAGAACACACGATTTTGTGTGACTCAAAATTCTACAAAGATCCAGGGAAAAAATTATATTGTGCTTTTAAAGGTAAAATAACAACCTGATGTTTGTATCCCAGGACAAATTAGCTAGCAACAGCAAGCTAGTTAGCTAAATGTCCATTCATGTTTAATGTGTTTCGACCTGTCCCCAAATGAATATAGTTGGTTCAGAGTTGGTTTTGATATTTCAACCTGCATGTCCTGATCGCGTCTGGTGTGAATTGACAAAATCAACATGCGCACGATGGTGCACAGTCTTGTCAGCATGTTGGGATGTGTTGTCGATAGTCTTAACCTTGATCTGGTGTCTGTTTTTGTTTTCCAGATAATCGGGTTTGGTGCTGCTTTGCTGGATGGGGTAGATCCGAACCCCTCTAACTTTGTGGGCGCTGGTGTCATCCATACGAAGACCACCCAGGTTGGCTGCCTCTTGAGACTGGAGCCTAATACTCAAGCACAGGTATGTAGACCTCACCTCCCTCCAGTGAGAATTACTCTCCACCCCAGGACCATGTCACCAACTCTTTCCTCTTTCTTAAATGGTGGTTGAAAGGAGTTTTCAATATCCAGACAATGCATTTGACCCACCTATTTAACCCCTCTCTCCTTCATTTTTTCAGATGTACCGCTTAACACTAAGGACAAGCAGAGATACTGTGTCACAGCGCCTATGTGATCTGCTCTCAGAACAATTCTGAACTGCTTCCAGATCAGGTCTTCTTACCTGGTATACCACAGAGCTGTACAAGCTCCCCCTGCCACTTGTGAAGACACCACATAGTTCATAACAAACAAGTCACACTTATCCTTCCCGTCTGTCTCATTTAAATTGGAATTGATACAGTGTACAGTGTAAATTCTTTTTTTATATTTTACTTATTATAAATGTATATCAAATTACTTTTTCACTCACTTTACTAATATTTCACTGCGTTAAATCTGCCTTATATGTCCATGTGCGCACAGAATATTTACGGCTCTGCTTTTGTTGTGGAAAGAGCTTAGTCCTCTCCCTGTACTTTAAAGACATATTAACTGGAAGAATTGGAGTTCAGGGGGGACTGGCAAGAAAATGCCTTAATTGTCTGACCCTCTTCCCCAACTGAGCAATGATTGTGTCCATAGATGTGCCTATTTTGTGTTTCAGATCCAGGGTTACTGTTACACAAGCATACATGAAAAGACGTTGTCTTATTTAGTTCTAAGGACTGCAGCAGTTTTCTCTGCTCTTGTCTTACCTTAAAACAAGCCCCATGAACACCTTATGACCCTATTGCAAACCCTAGCCATTGTGTAGGTTTTTTAGTGTATGGGTGGGAATTTAAACCGCAGCGGTCATTATGTAGATATTTCCGGCTGGTCTTAACAGTCAGGTAAAGGGACTGCTATGAGAAATCATCTTCTTGCTAGTAATATGTGTGTGTGCATATGTTGAAAACCAACCACTAAGGAATGAAGTGCCGGCATTATATTCAAATATGCATACAATTGTGTGTCCAACCGAATTTGTTCTCTGTCCCAAATCAGGGGGTTATTGGTGTCTAATGAAATCAGTTTTTAAAAAGACAGGCCATATATAGAGCACTGAAGAACTATAAGCGTACAGAACGACCAATTTACAACAGGGTTTCTTGACGCCTGTGGCCATTACAGTCGTATGGCTGTTGGCTAACTGTAGTTTAACTTGTAGGTCAATATTGAATCACTGCCTGTCCTCCCCGTGCCTTTACATTATATGGGTAAAAAAAATATGTATCAACAGTCAAGCCTTCTCTGCTCCCAATCATATTACGGGTGTTGCCAATTAAAGTTGATTGAGTCACTTTTACTCTTTTGTCCTAGGTATGTCCTATTGTTTAAGTGCTAATGCCAGAGAAGCCGGTGTTTGGAGGATATATTGGCACAGGTGGTGTTAGGCCCGAGGCGAAGTCTAGGGCCGGCAAACCGTGCCAATATATCCTCCAAACACTGGCTTTGAGGGCATTATCACTTTTATCCAACGGGTTAGCAACATATTCAAATAATGATTGACATATTTTCATTAAAAACTTTATTTTGTTGAATTTATTCATACTATTTCATCCTTCCACAAGATATAGTCCTGACACAAATCTAGGGTTGCTACCCAAGATGGCTGGTCGTTAGTTCTATCAGTTTGGTTGCTAGAGACGCGACCCAGTCGTTCAGTCTTTTTGTTCTGCATCTATGGACGCAACCCAGTCGTTCATTCTAAATGTTCCATCGCAATACTGGCTGGCAACGTTATTCTCCCTTGCTTGCTAACTAGCCAACTACGGCTAATTTACAGTCACGTCAAAATAACAGCCAGAATAACAGCAAAGTAGCCTCATTTTGCATTTGTTCAAGCTGTTTTCTATTGACATTTATTTGGATACATCCATATTGACATTTATTTGGATACATTGAGCTAATGAGGCGCGATTTCGCCTGGCATAGAAAATGTGCTCATTCATCAGGACACTGTTGTTCAGAGGAGCTAGCCAACAACACAGCTAACACAATCACTTCAAACTGAAGCTGGAAAGACTGCAAACTAGCTGCACTTTGTTTTGACCTTTATTTAATTGAAATTTCTTTGTATATATCCATAAAAATGATGCCAGTTGATTCATGATTTCGACTGGCTGAGAAACGCTGCCTGCCTGTCTGTCTCGTCCCGACAAGTTCAATACTATGGGACAGCAGGAGATCGAATTTGAATATTGAAACCATGTTGCAAATGTCGGAGACAGACAGCAAGGTTTATACAAATCTCCGCTGTTGAAAACTAAATGTTAGTCTAAAAGAAATGTGAGATAATGTCTAGATGCTTTTTATAGTGGAGATCAAGTTTATAAAGTGCCTGGCTGGGTTGATGGAACAGAGTAAATAGGCATTTAACGTCATAGATTTAGCCGCTGGTAATTTGTGGAATAGACACCGGCTGGAATACAGTTTAAACCAATCAGCATTCAGGATTAGACCCACCCTTTGTATAATCATAGATATTACACAACCACACCAGCATCTGTCACCACCACCGAACCCTTCTAGAACAAAGGCTGGAAGCTCTTCTATTTATTTCATAGGTTAATAAGGCTTAGACTATTTACACAATAGGCAAAGGTTTTAGGTTGTTGATAGTGTACCATCAGAACATTCGGCAGATTATTTATTTTACAATTGAAATGGTAGAATGCAATATACAGTTGAAGTCGGAAGTTTACATACACCTTAGCCAAATACAATTAAACTCAGTTTTTCACAATTCCTGACATTTAATCCTAGTAAAGATTCCCTATCTTAGGTCAGTTAGGATCACCACTTTTATTTTAAGAATGTGAAATGTCAGAATAATAGTAGAGAGAATGATTTATTTCAGCTTTTATTTCTTTCATCACATTCCCAGTGGGTCAGAAGTTTACATACACTCAATTAGTATTTGGTAGCATTGCCTTTAAATTGTTTAACTTGGGTCAAACGTTTCGGGTAGCCTTCCACAAGCTTCCCACAATAAATTGGGTGAATTTTGGCCCATTCCTCCTGACAGAGCTGGTGTAACCGAGTCAGGTTTGTAGGCCTCCTTGCTCGCACATGCTTTTTCAGTTCTGCCCACAAATGTTCTATAGGATTGAGGTCAGGGCTTTGTGATGGCCACTCCAATACCTTGACTTTGTTGTCCTTAAGCCATTTTGCCACAGCTTTGGAAGTATGCTTGGGGTCATTGTCCATTTGGAAGATCCATTTGCGACCAAGCTTTAACTTCCTGACTGATGTCTTGAGATATTGCTTCAATATATCCACATAATTTTCCTTCCTCATGATGCCATCTATTTTGTGATGTGCACCAGTCCCTCCTGCAGCAAAGCACCCCCACAGCATGATGCTGCCACCCCCGTGCTTCACGGTTGGGATGGTGTTTGGCTTGCAAGCCAACCCCTTTTTCCTCCGAACATAACGATTGTCATTATGGCCAAACAGTTCTATTTTTGTTTCAACAGACCAGAGGACATTTCTCCAAAAAGTACGATCTTTGTCCCCATGTGCAGTTGCAAACCGTAGTCTGGCTTTTTTATGCCGGTTTTGGAGCAGTGGCGTCTTCCTTGCCGAGTGGCATTTCAGATTATGCCGATATAGGACTCGTTTTACTGTGGATATGTGGAAAATAAGTATTTGGTCACCTACAAACAAGCAAGATATCTGGCTCTCACAGACCTGTAACTTCTTCTTTAAGAGGCTCCTCTGTCCTCCACTCGTTACTTGTATTAATGGCACCTGTTTGAATTTGTTATCAGTATAAAAGACACCTGTCCACAACCTCAAACAGTCACACTCCAAACTCCACTATGGCCAAGACCAAAGAGCTGTCAAAGGACACCAGAAACAAAATTGTAGACCTGCACCAGGCTGGGAAGACTGAATCTGCAATAGGTAAGCAGCTTGGTTTGAAGAAATCAACTGTGGGAGCAATTATTAGGAAATGGAAGACATACAAGACCACTGATAATCTCCCTCGATCTGGGGCTCGATGCAAGATCTCACCCCATGGGGTCAAAATGATCACAAGAACGGTGAGCAAAAATCCCAGAACCACACGGGGGGACCTAGTGAATGACCTGCAGAGAGCTGGGACCAAAGTAACAAAGCCTACCATCAGTAACACACTACGCCGCCAGGGACTCAAATCCTGCAATGCGAGACGTGTCCCCCTGCTTAAGCCAGTACATGTCCAGGCCCGTCTGAAGTTTGCTAGAGTGCATTTGGATGATCCAGAAGAGGATTGGGAGAATGTCATATGGTCAGATGAAACCAAAATAGAACTTTTTGGTAAAAACTCAACTCGTCGTGTTTGGAGGACAAAGAACACCATACCTACTGTGAAGCATGGGGGTGGAAACATCATGCTTTGGGGCTGTTTTTCTGCAAAGGGACCAGGACAACTGATCCATGTAAAGGAAAAAATGAATGGGGCCATGTATCGTGAGATTTTGAGTGAAAACCTCCTTCCATCAGCAAGGGCATTGAAGATGAAACGTGGCTGGGTCTTTCAGCATGACAATGATCCCAAACACACCGCCCGGGCAACGAAGGAGTGGCTTCGTAAGAAGCATTTCAAGGTCCTGGAGTGGCCTAGCCAGTCTCCAGATCTCAACCCCATAGAAAATCTTTGGAGGGAGTTGAAAGTCTGTATTGCCCAGCGACAGCCCCAAAACATCACTGCTCTAGAGGAGATCTGCATGGAGGAATGGGCCAAAATACCAGCAACAGTGTGTGAAAACCTTGTGAAGACTTACAGAAAACGTTTGACCTGTGTCATTGCCAACAAAGGGTATATAACCAAGTATTGAGAAACTTTTGTTATGACCAAAGACTTATTTTCCACCACAATTTGCAATAATTCATAAAAATCCTACAATGTGATTTTTCTGGATTTTTTTTCTCATTTTGTCTGTCATAGTTGACGTGTACCTATGATGAAAATTACAGGCCTCTCTCATCTTTTTAAGTGGAGAACTTGCACAATTGGTGGCTGACTAAATACTTTTTTCCCCCACTGTAGATACTTTTGTACCTGTTTCCTCCAGCATCTTCACACTTTGCTGCTGTTCTGGATTGATTTGCACTTTTCGCACCAAAGTACGTTCATCTCTAGGAGACAGAACGCGTCTCCTTCCTGAGCGGTATGACTGCTACGTGGTACCGTGGTGTTTATACTTGCGTACTATTGTTTGTACAGATGAACGTGGGATCTTCAGGCGTTTGGAAATTGCTCCCAAGGATGAACCAGACTTGTGGAGGTCTACCATTTTTTTTCTGAGGTCTTGGCTGATTTCTTTTGATTTTCCCATGATGTCAAGCAAAGAGGCACAATACATTTGTAGAGTGGTTGAAAAACGAGTTTCAATGACTCCAACCTAAGTGTATGTAAACCTCCGACTTCAACTGTATAATACATGCATCCATTAGGTATGCATACCCAGTTCTTCCTATATGCCAGAGAGAGCACCTTTATGCTCATAAAATAGGTGGTCGGTGTGTCTGAAAGTGTTGAACTTAAACAAGACATTGAATTACAAACTCTGGACATGTTGATGGTTTCGATGATGATAAGAATTACAGTGGGTTATTTTCTCTTGGCCTCTAGAGAGTACTCTTCACACAGCAGTGGAATGATGGTTCAGGAAAGGAGCCAAGTTTCAGGGTTTGTCCTATGCTTGTACACTTGGAAAATGTTGCATGAAACTTAACTAATAGTGGAATATGTGATGGCCACAATTATTTCCGTGATGTGTAAGGAGGAGCAGTTTGGTTTTATGCATAGATATTTACCCTGAAACAATAATATAATTGCGCTGAAATTAAGGGTTAACTGGGCAAAATATCTTCATGGAGTGTAACTATTTCTACCATACTATTACCATGTTATTACCACTCTATCCTGTGCTGTAATGTAAAATGATATTTCTTTATATTATATATAGTATATTTCACCATTATATTTCACATGGGATCTATAGTACTGGTATTTGGTTATAGCAAATTCAATGTAATATTAAAGGTTTTTTAAAAAAGATTACGGAATTTTCCAGAATCACCAACACATCTCAGAGGTATACTACAAAGCAGGCTCAATGAATGGCCAACTAACTTTGATAAAACAACTGAAATGACTATTGAAGTTAAACTTAGATATGTGTTTTGGGTTTTTGAATCAATTAGACCATGCCCATGTCAAGCTTATCTTTCCAGAAAATAAGTTATTTCAGAATATTTAGGCAAGTTAGTTGGCTAACTCATTGATGCTGCTTTGTAGTCTACCCCTCAGCATAACTTGTCAAAATTCCATTAAGCCCCAGCCGGACCTAGACTTTTAGCCACACCCATATGTGGGTTGTGGTTCCTCCCTGGTCCCCATTTACTCAATAGCACCACTCCT